CCTTCTCAGGGACCTCACTCCATTCTCCCCCTTTCCCTATTGTATCTACAACCTTTTCCTTTCTACTGGATTTTCAGAGGAAACTTGCTCTAACATCTTCCATCCAAAACAACGTAACACAAAACAAAAAACAATAGACAGTAGTAGCCCCTTCTGGCTACTGCTCTTTCTCCAAACCCTTTGCCCCATCAAATTTTATAAAGAGATCATTCGCTGGAGTCACAGGCAGTGGCTTTACCTGCTATGCCACAGAACTGAGGCCATAAACAAGAGTGTCAATTTGTAAAGTCAACAACAGGAGTCACTGTGCACTTACTCCTCATGTAGGATCTCTGTCCTTAGCGTGCTGTACATTGAGACTTAATGCTATAACGAGTACTCAAACAGTATATTTCACTTTGTGTTTCTATGGGGGTGCAAACTGTTGAAAGCTTTACTTAATGTATACTAAACTGATCTTCTGTAGATAAAGAGAATCGAAAATGAATCTTGATGTGAATGGAAGGGGAGAGGAAGTGGGAGAGGGGAGGGTTGCAGGTGGGAGGGACGTTATGGGGGGGAAGCCATTGTAATCCATAAGCTGTACTTTGGAAATTTATATTCATTAAATAAAGGTTAAAAAAAAAAGAGATCATTCGCTATTATCTTCTTCCTTCCCATTTGCTTCTCAAAACACTAAATCCTATACTTCCACTCTCAAAAAGTGTCCTGGAGCCCGTCACCAGGAACTACACTGCAACATCCAGCACGTGACACAATTAACCACACCTCACTGAGACACTGGGTTCACTGACTTTCCCAATACCACATTCTCCCGGTTGTCCATCTAGTCCTTGAAAGATCCTTCTCTTTCTTCTTTGCCACCTACACTCCTTTCTTGCTCCCCTTCTTAAAGCAGGTATCACTCAGAGTGTGACTCTGGACACCACTGTCTTTGGCATGGTTCTAGGACTTGGGTGCTGAAAATATTTACATGTGGAAGATTACAAATCTATACTTACATTCCAGACCACTTGATGAACTCCAGACTCAAGAGCACTTGATTTTTCTACTGGAACGTTTTGCAAACACCAAATATGTCCAAACTGATCTCTTTTCCTTCTTCCCAAACCCTTGTCACTATCTTCCCTCCCCTGGCACTTTGCTATTGCTGCCCCTGAATGCAAGTTTTTGCCCCTTTACCTGGCTAATACTACTCTTCCCTTCAGTTTCACATAAATGCACTTTAATCATTCTTACTAAATTACACTATTTTGTAGCACCCTATACTTCCCTTTAGAGTTTACCTTTGTATGCGATCTTTTTGTTTAATTCTTACTCTTGTCTCTTTTGCTGGATCAGAGGCATTGGCTGGGCTATTCCTATTAATAATTCCCTTACGTCTTTGAGTCTGTTCAGTTCATCTTTTCAGTGAGGTTTTTGCTTTTCTGTTTAGAATTTCTCCCTTTTCGTCAGTTTCTCTTTCCTCACATTTATAGACTTTTCACATCCCATATAATTTGCTTACTTGTATTTGTTAATTTGCAGTTTTCTCTCGACCCTAGAATGTAGGCTTCATAAAGATTTCTTGTCTGTCGTGTTCATTGGCATATCCCAAATTCTCTGCACATGATAGGAGTTCAGTAAGTATTTGTTGGGTGAGTTGAAAAATCTGTGTTTTGCTTCTCACTAAATTCTAAGTTACACAATTTCTGTGGAATTAAATTTCAGCTAATATAAAAACCTACAGTGTGAGGCCGGCTCTGTGGTGCAGCGGGTTAAAGCCCTGGCCTGATGTGCCAGCATCCCATATGGGTGCCGGTTCTAGCCCTGGTTGCTACTCTTCCAATCCAGCTCTCTGCTGTGGCCTGGGAAAGCAGTAGAAGATGGCCCAAGCCCTTGGACCCCTGCACCTGCATGGGAGACCCAGAAGAAGCCCCTGGCTCCTGACTTCAGATTGGCACAGCTCCTGCCGTTGCGGCCATCTGAGGAGTGAACCAGTGGATGGAAGACCTCTCTCTGTGTGTCTCTACCTCTCTCTGTAACTCTTTCAATAAATAAAATTTAAAAAAAACCAACAGTGAGATGAAGGATGGACAGTAACATCACTTGGACAATGGGAACCCATTCTCATAAATCTCAGTACATGAATGCTCTCAGGTGAACGCATTTTAGTTTGGACTCTAGAAAGTGGCCCTCATTTTTTGCTACTGGTTTTGCAGCACATAATTTAGCTATTTACCACAGATTAGTTAACTATGGATAACTATATGACAGTTAATTCTGTCCTTCTTCTTTAGATCTCAACAACTTTTAAGACAGTATAATACAAAATGTAAGCTACATGAGAGGAAAACCCAAGCCCAAGCTCATGTTCATCCCTACCATAAACTGTTGTCTAACCTGTCTTGTTGGTATGCAGCAGGGACTAAATTCTTTGCTAGTGCAAAACTCACCTACTGAGTGAATCTGTGCCATCAAGGAAAGCCTAGGTAGCACCTGCATGGTGGAAGAAGCCAAAACTTGGAATCATGAGGGAGCAAGCTCTATTTTGGGTTCTACCATTTGAAAAACCTGGCAATTTCCTCGGGCCTATTTCTTCTTCTGGTGAGAGGATAAAGCCAGATGGTGCAGCTCACCTTAACTGTAGTTAGAAGTGTAAATCTAACTAAATATACTCTCCCTGAGGTTAGCGACTGCATTTGTCATGTTCACTGCTATGAAGACAAGCCCTTGACCAGTGTGCTCGGCACACAGTAGGCCCTCAGGATTTTGTGGAATGATCTACAAAGTTCTTTCCAAAATTTTATGGAAAAAAGTTTAACTGAAATCTCCTAGATAAATTATTCTTTCTCTAGAGAAAACCATGCACAGATTATCATCATCTTAGAAATACCTTATGGGGCCAGCTCTATGGTTTAGCAGGTTGAGCAGCTACCTGTGACACTGGCATTCCATTTGCAGTCTGGTTTGGGTCCAGGCTGTTCCACTTTAGGTATTAGCTCACTGCTAATATGCCTGGGAAGGCAGCAGAAGATGGCCCAAATGTTCGGAGCCCTGCACCCACGTGGGAGTCCCTCATGAATCCCTGGCTCTTGGCTTCTGTAAGGCCCAATCTTGGCCCTTGTGGCCAGTTAACAAGCATTTGGAAGATTGATTATCTATCTCTCTTTCCCTCTCTCCCACTTTCTTCTCTGTATAATCCCACCTTTCAAATATATATATTTTTAAATATACCCTAGGGCATGGTGAAAGGTGAGTACAAATAAATTCTTGGGGTGCTGCCAGTTGGCTCAGGCGTTTAGACCCCACTTGGGATCCCCACAACCCAGAGTTCCTGGGTTCCAGCCCCAGCTTCACTTCCGATTCCAATGTCCCCGAAGGCAGTGATGGTGGTGGCTCAAGTAGCTGGATCCCTGCCACCCACATGAGAGATCCGAATCCAGCGCCTGGCTCCGTGGCTGGCATTTGGGGAATGACCCCGCAGAAAGGGGAGCTCTGCCTCTCCGCCATGAAGAACAAACGTGAGTTGGCTATAGACACCCGCCTTGCATTGTCACGAGGACCCACTCCGGGCTCTTTCATCGCGTACAAACACCTCCGGCGCTTCATTTGAAACCTATACTCTGCGTGTGAGGACGCCAGAGTCCTCAGGAACTCCCGCGCTGCACAGCTCGGCGCCCCTGCCCTGCCATTATGATGATGTAGCTTCCCAAGAGCGGCCTTTGCTCATCTCCCAGCCCTTCCTTCCTCACCCCTCGCGCGCCGTGGGGCAGAATACAACCCCTGGGTGGGCCTGACGCGGGGAGCGGTGGGGGAGGCTGGAGGGAGGCAGGCCCAGCGCCCGCACCTCCTCCCCTGCCAGTTCCGGCGCTTTCGTATCACACGCAAATCAACGTTCCTAACCGAAGCTGGGGACCGCGGGTGGGGCGCCGAGCCGACGTGTTTACACTTGTCTTCTCGCCCCCGAGCTGCCGCGGGACCTGATTGGCTCCCGCGCGCGCCCCGCCCGCCCGGGCCCGCCCCTCGCCGGCCATCTGCTCCCCGCTCTCGCCCGGCCCCTCTCTCTCCCCGCGCCGCGCCGCCGCCTGCGCGCCCCCCACCCCAACCCGCAGCTGCCCCCGACCCGCGCCGGCTCCCGCCCCCGCCCCCTCCCCCCCGCCCCCAGCCCCGAATCGTCCCCCGGCCGTTGCCCGGGAAACGAGCCGATACCAGTCAAATAGGCATTGGGGGAAAGAAAAGGGGGGAGAGCTCCGCGGCAGCCGGGTAACAAAGGAGCAATAAAAAGCAGCCCCCCAATGGAAAGGCTAAGGACGCGTCTGGGAGAAAATCCGCAAGCGAGCGAGCAGTCACCCCCAGTTTCCGACAGGCGGGGGCTGCAGAGGAAGGGGCCTGCTGCACGCTGGGAGTGGGTGTGGGACGGGGCGGTGGGGTGGGGGTGGCGGGAACTCAGCAGCCTGCAATGACCGTTTTAGGAATCTTGTGGACGGTGGTGCTGGATCGGCCCCGCTGGCTTTGCTGGGGATTGGCGTCCGTCCTGGCGGCCGGGGTCTGGGGCCGGGCCAGCGGGCTGCCTTAAGGGCGGTCACACGTTTGTTGGCGAGATGCGCTTCTCCATCTGCTCTGGGGAGAATGACTGCGTGAGTGACGAGCGCATCCGAGGGCACTGGACGGCGAGAGGACCTTCGCGCGCCAAGTGGCGAGGGGCAGCCTGGTGGTTTGCAAAACGACACTTCGACAAAGAGTTACTGGCCCGACACGACTGTCTTTTCCCACTCAGAGTGTGACCTATTTCCCTACAATGAGCAGGAAATAAAGCTGAGAATTCAGAGCCAGGACCGGGAGAAGTGAGCCATTCCCTCGATGGCTTCTCGCTTCCACCAGGGGAAGATTTTTATTCGTGGCAGTGATCACCACATGTAAACGAGAAAAGGTGGTCTGATTTTGTCACGAGCGAAAGTGTGGGTGGTAGAGGAATGCTTATTGGTCTGTACCCTGAATTCCCTCCCTCTCTCGGATACCTTAAATCAATGCCTTGTGTCTCACACACAAAGAGCGCCTGGTGCTTCGGCGGGGCCGGGGTGCAGTGGCAGATGGAGGCATCCTGTGTGCCATTCTAGGCGATTTCCTGGTAACCCGAGCTGGACTTGGAGCGCCCGGGCGTCTTCCCGCAGCCGCTCCGCACGCAGGCAGTGTCGTCTTAGACCTGCGAACCGGTGGTGGGGGGCGCACGCTCGCTGGCGTGCACGCCAACAAACGCGTTCCCAGAGAGAACCCGTCAGATTCTGGCAGTGGGCTGCGAACGACCCACATGGATGCGAGAAGCATTCCAACTGTAAATATGGATGCGTGCACTCGAGGCTGTGCGGGGAACCCGTGGCAACTCAGACAGTGATCAAATGTGGCGATCTTCTGTACACAGTCCTCCCTGGGTATTCTGGGGGAAAAAATGATTGGGAACAGCTAAAGGAGGAATTTGAGGAGCGCCCAAGGCCGATCTCCAAATCCTGTGTTGCGTGTCCGTGTGGGAGACAGAGGGGAAGACGTGTTTGCCGCTTTTGCGTTTCCCACATCTGGCCTACAGACCTAATTCCAACTCGGAATCTCGTTTGATGAAATTCGATCTTCGTGGTCTGAATACCTTTCAATGTGGGACAAGTTAACAATTCAAGCAGTTGAAAAGGGAAAAAAAAAATCCTGCGCACTATCTGTGAAACCCAGATGGCACAGGCAGAAAGAAAACACGCTGCAAAGACACACATCCCGACTATTGTCTTTAACACTCGCACACACATAAACACACGGGGAGGGCGGGGGAGGGGAGCGAGCTCGGCGACGGACGCGGATATAGACCGGCCCGAGTCAGCGAGAGTCAAGTTAAGGCTTTCTCCGCCCCCCGGCTGCAGGCGCCCCCCGCCCGCGCCAATTAATTCCAAACAAAGCAAGCCAATCAAGGGACGTAGGATCATTTTAAAGCAGAGGGAGGCGAGAGGCATGTATTTTTAATTGATTTATTTATTTGGAGGACATTAATTCTCGGTTCGGGGCTGATTTTCAAACCGTTTGCAAAGCGCGGCTCCATTGTTCGCCGGGCGCGGAGGCCCCGCCCCCTGCTTTGTGTGCGGCGCGCGGATTGGCCGGCGCGCGCGGGGGCCGCGTCAGCGCCCGCGAGCCCATTCATCTGTGCACTTGGGCGTTGGACCCCGCATCTTATTAGCAACCAGGGAGATTTCTCCATTTTCCTCTTGTCTACAGTGCGGCTACAAATCTGGGATTTTTTTTATTACTTTTTTTTTTTTGGAAAAAAAACTACACTTGGGCTCCTTTTTTTGTGCTCGACTTTTCCACCTTTTTCCCTCCCTCCTGCGCTGCTGCTTTTTGATCTCTTCGACTAAAATTTTTTCATCCGGAGTGTATTTAATCGGTTCTCCTCTGTCCTCTTCACCGCCCCCACCCCCCTCCCTCCGGTGTGAGTGCCGCTGCCGCCGCCGCTGCTGTTGCCGCCGCTGCTGCTGCTCGCCCCGTCGCTACACCAACCCGAGGCCCTTTGTTTCTCCTCTTGGATCTGTTGAGTTTCTTTGTTGAAGAAGCCAGCATGGGTGCCCAGTTCTCCAAGACCGCAGCGAAGGGAGACGCCGCCGCGGAGAGGCCCGGGGAGGCGGGGGTGGCCTCATCGCCTTCCAAAGCGAATGGGCAGGTAAATTCTACCTGTGGTTCTGGTCATTTCTTGGGTGTCTTTCTGTGCTCTCGACGCTTCTCTTTGCCTCCCGGTCGCGCCCGAGGCGCAGCCGGTGGAGCTCGAGTGTGGCCGGATTCCAGTGGGAAAGTGGAATGTTAAAGCTAGCCTAAATTGCTTTATTTTTCGTAGGCAGAATCTCCCCCCACCCCCACCCCCACCCCGCGCCTACGGAGCGGGTCCCGAGAACCCTGGCTAATTCTTGAGTAGACGGGAGGACAGGAGTGACAAATCGTCTAAAATGGCGTGGTTTGGAGACTGGCAGAACGTGACTAGCTAGGTGTCCCCCCTCGCTCCACAGCCAGGTTCATTTGTGTTTGAGGACACGGGGGGTGTTTGGGTGGCTCTCGCGTTTGTTGTCCAGCCTGGGTCGCCTTCTCGATGTGTGAGCTGGTGTGAGTGCGTGTGTGTGTGTGTGTGTGTGTGTGCAGGGGAGGGGGTTCGCAGTGGGGATGGCGGCGGATAAAGGCGAGTAGGGAAGGGTTGTAGGGCTGTCTTATTGTATGCCGAGGCGGTGTGCCTGGGTTCTTGGAAAGGAGGCTGGTGGAACTGGACTTAAGGGTTTCGGTATTTTTTGGATGGGGTTTTCCCACTTTCCTAAATGCTATTCGGAGCTGTCTGAGGAATCACACACATTTGACTTTTTAAACGGTATCCCGAGGGTGAGAACAGTAGGTAGGTCCTCTAAGGATCGTTCCAGATGGCCCCGAAGAGGTAGTTGTTGCATTTCGGTCGGGATTGTTGGTACGTGGCGCCTCGACCACCCGCGGAGGGCCGCCCGGCGCGGCTCGGACCCAGGCAGATAGCCACGGTTGGGTGGGCGCGAGAGGTCGGCCATGGGTGGCTGCTTCGCAAACACTGGGCACCCACCACGCCTCTTTTCCTAGAGCAGAAGCCGAGTTGCCTCGTTTGCTCCAACCTACTGGGGGAAGTCAGCTCTGCCAAGAGGCTTTAAACCCGTTAAAAATGCAAAATGAGCTGCCAGGACGCGCCTGTCTTCGCAGAATCACGGTTGTAGGTGGGCATGGAAGCTGAGGCCAGACCTAAGAGATAATGGGTTTCCCGCAGCCTTGTTGGTTTTAGCCCGACTGGGAGGCCGGGAAGCCACCTGAGCTTTGTTTGCGGACTCTTGGGCTGCGCGATCCGGGCTCGGGGGCGCCTTGGCCTGCGGGCAGGGCCTGGCTGGGCAGGGCGGGGTGGCCCGGCGGCCCCGCCCCTCCTCGCCGCCTGCGCCCAGCTTGGTGCGATGGAGGCGCAGCGCCCCCTGCGGGTGTCGGGCCTTGGGCGAGCGCAGTGCTTTTGAGCGCGCAGTGAAGTGCGGCGCTTCTGTTTGGAGTGCTGGGATACCCCTGGGAGTTCTCGGAGTTCTACGGTGAAAGGGGCATAAGTGTCCTAGGTGCAGATCACCAGCTCCGAAGTGCGTTCTTCCACAGGGCGTTCGGTGTATCATTAATTGGCTTCTTTCCCCCCAAAGCCTGTGAAGCGACACTGGAATCGTTACTCCTCTTTGCTTTCCACTTCGCAGTCCGAGAGACATTCACAGAACGGTCACAGCTACTGCTGTGCTGTAGGGATCCCCAAACAGCGCTGCCCCATTTCTAAATCTGGGGGGGGGGTTCCTGTCTGGGTCTCCAAGGCCACCCCTCCCCATAATGGCAAGAGGAGGGTCCCCGGGGCCAAAGAAGTGCGGGGGAAGCCGGTGTCTCAGGGCCCACTGGTGGGGCGGGAACGCTTCAGTGACGCTCCCGCTTTCTCTGCCTCGCAGGAGAATGGCCACGTGAAGGTAAATGGCGACGCTTCGCCCGCGGCCGCCGAATCTGGCGCCAAGGAGGAGCTGCAGGCCAACGGCAGCGCGCCGGCCGCCGACAAGGAGGAGCCCGCGGCCGCCGGGAGCGGGGCCGCGTCCCCCGCCGCGGCCGAGAAGGATGAGCAGGCCGCCGCCACCCCCGAGGCCGGGGCCAGCCCCGCGGAGAAGGAGCCCCCCGCGGAGGGCGAGGCAGCCGAGCCCGGCTCGCCCACGGCCGCGGAAGGCGAGGCCGCGTCGGCGGCCTCCTCGACGTCGTCGCCCAAGGCCGAGGACGGCGCCACGCCCTCGCCCAGCAACGAGACCCCGAAAAAAAAAAAGAAGCGCTTTTCTTTCAAGAAGTCTTTCAAGCTGAGCGGCTTCTCCTTCAAGAAGAACAAGAAGGAGGCGGGAGAGGGCGGTGAGGTGGAGGGCGCAGCCGGCGCCTCCGCCGAGGGCAGCAAGGACGAGGCCGCCGGGGGAGCGGCCGCGGCCGCCGCCGACGCGAGCTCGGCCTCCGGGGAGCAGGCGGCGGCGCCAGGCGAGGAGGCAGCCGCCGGCGAGGAGGGGGCGGCAGGTGGCGAGCCGCAGGAGGCCAAGCATGAGGAGGCCGCCGTCGCGCCCGAGAAGCCGTCCTCCAGCGAGGAGCCCAAGGCCGCGGAGGAGCCCAGCAAGGCCGAAGAGAAGGCCGAGGAGGCCGCGGCCAGCGCCGCCGCCTGCGAGGCGCCCTCAGCCGCCGGGCCCGGCGCGCCCCCGGAGCAGGAGGCGGCCCCGGCCGAGGAGCCCGCGGCTGCCTCCGCCTCGTCAGCCTGCGCAGCCCCCTCACAGGAGGCCCAGCCCGAGTCCAGTCCAGAAGCTCCCCCAGCGGAGGCCGCAGAGTAAAAGGGCGAGAGTTTTTGAGATAATCGAAGAACTTTTCTCCCTCCCCCCCAGTTTGTTTGTTGGAGTGGTGCCAGGTACTGGTTTTGGAGAACTTGTCTACAACCAGGGATTGATTTTAAAGATGTCTCTCTCTCTCTCCTTTTTTTTTTTTTTTACTTTTTTTTTTTAAGCAGCAAATTTTGTTTCCCTTCTCCCCTCCCCACAGATCCCATCTCAGATCATTCTGTTACCACCATTCCAACTGGTCGAGGAGAGCTTAAACACCTTCCTCTGCCTTGTTTCTCTCTCTCTCTCTCTCTATTTTTTTGCATCAGTATTAATTTTTTTGCATACTTTGCATCTTTACTCAAAAATGTAAACTTTCTTTGTCATTCTATGGACATGCCCATATATGAAGGAGATGGGTGGGTCAAAAAGGGATAGCAAATGAAGTGATAAGGGCCACAATGGGGAAATCATAGTGGTGCATAGCATTGCCAAGATAATGTGCCACTAGAAATGATGGTGTAAAGGCTTAGTCGTTTGGGTTTTTTTGTTTTGTTTTGTTTTGTTTTTTTAAAGAAAAGTTATTACGATGTATTTTGTGAGGCAGGTTTACAACACTACAAGTCTTGACTAAGAAGGAAAGGAAAAAAAAAAAAACACCAATACCCAGATTTAAAAAAAAAAAAGATCATAGTCTTAGGAGTTCATTTAAACCATAGGAACTTTTCACTTATCTCATGTTAGCTGTACCAGTCAGTGATTAAGTAGAACTACAAGTTGTATAGGCTTTATTGTTTATTGCTGGTTTATGACCTTAATAAAGTGTAATTATGTATTACCAGCAGGGTGTTTTTAACTGTGACTATTGTATAAAAACAAATCTTGATATCCAGAAGCACATGAAGTTTGCAACTTTCCACCCTGCCCATTTTTGTAAAACTTAAGTCATCTTGGACCTTTTAAACACAAATTTTAAACTCAACAAAGCTGTGATAAGTGGAATGGTTACTGTTTATACTGTG